ATACATACATATATACATATGTGCACACATGCGCGCGCATATATATAAATAAATAAATGCAAGTTCTCATTAAATAGAATTCAAAAAAGTAAAGTACAAAAAATAATAAAATAATAAAAAAGAAAAAAAAAAAAGAAAAGAAAAAAAGAAAAATTTCTTTATTTCATAGAAAACCGTCATAGAAAAAAAGCTCAACTGTCAAAAAGCACAAAACCCGTAAAAAAAAAAAAAAAAATTGTGCTTTTGATTTTCTTAAAAAAAAAAAAAAAAAACTTAAACTTTTGAACCTTTTTGTTGTTTTTTTCTTTTGTATTATTATTATTATTATTATTTTGGTACCATATTTTTGTGTAATTTGTTTTCTTCAGTTTGTTAAATACGCTTCATGGTTTTACATTGTAAATGACCGAGCAGTAGCTTTCGATAATTACTTGAACAAAAAAAAAAAAAAAAAGGAAAGAAAAAAACAAAACAAAAGCAAAATGATGATGATGATGATGAGCTAACTGCACAGAAATCACGTTTTTCTTTTTTTTTTTTCTTTTTTTTTTCTACATTATTACAATAAAATAATATAATATTTTTTTTTTCTTTTATAAAATTATAATTAATTTATTTTCATTGAAATCAAAACCGTAGTAAGGAACATTCTCGAAGGATTGATCGTAGAAAAAGGAAAGAAAATTCATTAAAATAATAATAATAATAATAATAATTTCTTTAGTTTTTGTTTTGGCTTTTACCGGGTAAATAATTAAAATTGTCACGTGGTTATGTTTTTTTTTGTTTTCGCATCTTTGTTTGTTGTTTATCGTTTGTTTTCCCTTAAATTTATTTGTTTGTTTCATTTATGGGGGGGGGGAAGGGAAGGAGGGGGATCATTAAAAGTTTTACGTTCGCGCGTCAGCATTAAAATTAAACTTTTTTTTTTTTTTGAGCGAGTGACCGAAAACAAACTTAACTTGTTTAATAATAATAATTATTTATATATACGCACACTCACGCACGTACGCACGCACACAGGCTCTTATTTTATTTTTTTTTTCTAAGAAAAGTGCATTTCACCTTAGTTTTCTCGCCATGTGTGACATTGCTATGAATGAAAATGAATTCTTTCCAATTTTCTCCCACTCGCTCAAATTAAAATTTTTTTCCTTTTTTTCTTGGCTTTGTCTCCTTATTTACTTCTGGTCCCCCCCTTCCTCCCTACCTCCCTCTTTTTCCATAAGACGATTCAAAGATTTCCATAATATTCTATGGTAACAGGTAGATTTGCATCGATATAATAATAATAATAGTAAAACCGATTCGTAAAAGTTAATTATAATTTGTTTTTTTTTTTTTTTTTATCATTTGTATTATTTATTTTTAATGACTAAAGATACCTAAAAATTTATTTATTTATAATTGCTTTGATAATAATAATAATATTTCCTGTTATTCTTATCATAATCTTAAAACGGTTTTTGTTATAATCATGATGTAATGCGTTTTATCAAAAAAAAAAAAAAGAAAAAAGAAAATTACGAATTGGGAAAATATTGCATTAATTAAATGCCGCTTCGAAAGAGAGTAGTAATAATAATAATAATGATAATAATAATAATAATTGATTGATTGATTTGTCGGCAATTTTTTTTTTTTTAAGGAAGAACTCAAAAGGTTTAATTTTTTTTTTTTTTTTTATTTCTATATATATATATATATGTAGGCAAGGATTGAGTTGCAAATTGTTTTTGTTTGTTGTTTGTTGTTTCCTAATAAATTTCGTATTTTTTTTTTATAGTAGCGAGGAAAATTATTTAAAAAACAATCGCCATATTTAAAAAAAAAAAATGGTTGTCTTTTTTTTAAATAAAGGGGTTAATTTTATAAAAGTTTGGTAAATTTAGTCTCCATGTTTTTGAAAATTTATTTTATTTTTATTATTATTATTTTTTTTTAATAATATTTATTTGATACTTGAATGGTATTATTATTATTATTTTTA